TTGTTTTTAACATTAGTATTTTTTGTATGGCTATTTTATTTTTTAATTTTTTGGTACTGTTTATGTTTTAATTGTAAACTGCCCAGAGTTATGAATGTGAAATGGGAGGTTATATAAATTGAATGAACCAATAAATAAATAAATACATCAAAGTCATCTTAGAGTGGCCAAATCTGCAATATAAAAAAAGTGTAACCCCCCCCCCCCCCCAAAAAAGATACCGATTTTCACAAATTTACCTATGTTCATTTATATGTATTGGGATACATTTAAAGGAATTTCTGAAATGTGAATAAAATATAGTATGTTTTATTATAAAGGGAAAGACTGCAATCAGGTAACATGTTTGCCAGCTCAGGCTGTTTTTCCCTATACTTAGAATTGATGGGTAAATTCAAAAGCTGTTCTCTCCCTCCTTTATGGAGCTTTATTCAAATACAGATGATAGAACTTTGCAAAGTAGGGCAAATGACTAGCCTATTTTTCATCTTAAAGGATTGAAAAATGGTTTTTCACCTTTATTAGCTGACTCACAAGTCACGCATCCAATCTAGTGAGAGACAATCTGTGCATGAAAATAAGATGTCTACGTTTCTTCCATAGCATGCATGAGAGGTTTTCCTATTTTGTTTGAAGGGCAAGGAGTGGGATGTGTTCATATCCACTTCTTGGATTGCATCATACATGATCTATCTGCCTATTTATCTATCAAAAAAGAAGTAACTATCACTGCAGTGGACCAATTCAAGCAGCTGCTTTTTAATGCAATTTGGTGCATCAAATATCAGGTAACAGACTATTTTTAAAATGTTCATTTGAATAATATTTTCATTAGCTTATTCAAGGCATTAAATCAGCAAGTTAATGTATTATACAGAACACTGAATTCACAGAAAACTGATATATACCTGCTGCTGTATTCTTGGACATGCTCTTCTTCCCCAAACAGTGGATAGTGCTGTCAAGGAGTGACAGCAGAGATCATACATTCAAGAGAGGGAGCAGGGCCTCTTTGCTGCTGTGACTGTGGAACAAGATAATACATTCTCATTTTTTTAAGGCAATGGTAGCTCATTAAGCAAATGGATAAGGAAAGTGAAGAACAGTTTACCAGCCATAAGGGGTGAAAAAGTAATATCTTAGAATAGCTACTTGTTGCAAGGGCTACATCTTGAGAACTGCCCACTATGGGTGACTACGTGACTGCTTCCTGCTGAATAAGCAGAGACTGTAGAAGGAATATAATGCAGCCAGATCCCAAAGAGTGAACTTCTTGTGTGAACTAACAAGGAAAGCTAACAGGACTTTGCTTGGAGAGTCCTTAACACCTTTTCTCTCTAGATCAGAAGTTTGTGTTCAGTTTACATTATCAAATCAAATAAAGGCAATGCTGTAACTGAAGCTGAGAGGGGAAACCATTGGTTCATGAAGTGTGTTGTCCTCCAAAAGCAAGGAGCGACAATGTAACATAACAACTTCCAGGACTTAAGTCAAGTGACAATTATCCCTTCTTGACAGTTCATATGTGGATAAAAAATACTTACAATCATATCCTCATGGATTTGAAGACCTAGAAAGGAAGCTCAAACCCTGATGCTCAGGCGTTGTTTTCATCCTTCCTTCCAGCCCAGGGAAGAGGATCAGAAAGAGAAAGAATACTGCAAATGAATGATTGGGTATACAAATGGTCAATAGGAAAAATATGGGACTACAGTCTTAGTTATTTTGATAATGGACTGCTGATGTGAGATGGGTTACATCTTAGAAAGATTGGCAAAGTGATTGGATGGTGACCTGGATCATGATGGCTTTAAACTGATTCCTGTGAGGGTTGGGGCAGAAAACCCTGGACTGTCTTGTATAAAATGGAAGCACTGCTGTAATTGGGCCTATTAGCCCACTAACTGAATTTTCTCCTTCTCCTTCTTCTTCTGTCAATTGCAAAAGGCAGCTTTACTTGGAACAGCTTATATCCTGCAATGATACCTTTAACACTATCAAACCCCTGCCTATCCCAGGTCCTTGGGAAGGACTCGATAGATGGATAAAAATGCCAAATCCAGTCTAAACATCTGGCTGACTGTGCAACCAACAATAATAATAATTTCATAAATTACTTGGACATTGTTGTCTGTATATTAATACTTAAAGTATTGTAAATACATAAAATTAGCTTGAACTATTGGGATAGGGAGACACACATTTAATAGGTGTTTAACTGAGATCTGCTGGGATACCTCTCGCTACAGGAATATTCCAATTCTATATAGAGTTTGTTCATCTAGAACAGAAGTAACAGAAAGGGAGGAGGAATTGTATTGCATGCTAAAAGCATCCAAGCTTGCTCAGAAAATCCAAGCGAATGAACCTGGTAATAATGTAGAAAGCAACTTGGTTAAAATAAATGAACAAACAAAGTGGTAATGTGTTGTATTAATTGTTACCCATCCAGTCAAGTGTTACAAGGTAATGTGAATAATGCTTCCCAAAAGTAAAATGGAGGTTTTTCAAAGAAGCATGAAGTAGAAATGCTAGGGATCTTTAATAACCCCAACATTTGTTTGGGAGACAAACGCCGTCAAGCATGGCAGTTTCAAGAAATGTCTGACTTGTCTTACTGACAACTTTCTTCTTCAGAGATGGAGAAAAACATAAAAGGCTCAGCCATCCTTGACTTCACATGAATTAATGGGGAAGGTTTAATTGAGGAAGTAGAGGTAGCAGAAACATTGAAGAAAAGTGATGATCACTTGAATTCTTGATTTTTAAAGGAAAATGAAGCCATGTTATCATGTCTGTATCTTGAACTTAAAAGGAAAAAAAGAAAGGAAGAAAAAGTCAGGTTTTGATAAGCTCAAAGCAGTCATTGGAACTGAATGGAGGAGAAATTAATGGGAGCAGGAGCTCAACACAAGGAAAGGGGTAATTTAAAAAAGATACTAAAAGGACAATAGCAAACATTTTTAATGAGGGGGAAAAGGAGGAGAGCAGAAGCCAATGTGGCTACACTAAAATCTTAACAAAGATCCCCAAACAAAAGATGACACAAATAGGAGTTGGAAAGAGGGATTGGTCGCTAAAGAAGAGATATATAGAGATACCTGGGACCTATCAAGATTATGTCAGCAAAGCTAAAGCTCAGTACAGTGGAACCTCGGTTTACGAACTTAATTCGTTCCGTGACTCTGGTCGCACCCCGA